TTTGTTTTTATTTTAATGTGTATATATTAATAAAGACGACTAGAAGAAATTCACCAAGATAATAGTTGATTTTAGATGATGGGATTAGTTTCTTTTTCTTCATACTTTTCTACAATCATGAGATGTTCTACAAGCAAATATCTATTGTAAAGCAGAAAAAAATAACAAAGAATAATTTCAAGGATAGTCTCTGCCTGGGAAAATGAAACTTTTATGTTCAAAAAATAAACTGTGCTTCTCCGGGCCTGTTTTATCACCTGCAAAATAGGCCTAGGTCATGACCGTAGAACACTGCTTGTCACCAAGTAAGCACTCAATAAATGGGAGCTTTTCAAAACACAATACTCCCAGAACCGCAGGGGAGGTAGTATCCTCAGAGCAGAGTTAGGGGTCAGGGCAAGAAAATGAAAGGAGCTTCCAGAGAAGAGGTTGAGGCAACACGGCAGGTTTCTGCTGGATCCTGAGCTCCAGAAGGCACAGTGAAAGGGTTTTTGGAATAGGGGGAAGGTGTGTGGTAGGAAATGGGAATGGGAAGTGGACATGCTCAGGCCACATCCCTAGGATCAGGTCCGGGGATCATGGTGAGGATTCTGAGAGGGGCCCTGCTTGTCTGGGCCTTCCTGTGGTCACAGAGCTGATGGTGGTGGTGAGCATGTGCCGGGTGGTAGGAAGGAGAGGGGTCTGGGACAGTGGGTCCAGGAGGTGGGCAGAGGGACAGTATTGCAGTAGTCCCCCCTTATCCTTGGTTTCTCATTGCACGGTTTCAGTTACCCATGGTAAACCATGGTCCGAAAAATATTAAAGGTAAAATTCCAGAAATAAACAATTCATAAGTTTTAAATTGCACGCCACCATGCATAGCATGATGAAATCTTGCACCCTCCCACTCTGTCCTGCCCGGATGTGAATCACCCCTTGGTCCAGCAGATCCACGCTGTACACGCTCCCCCCCACTTAGTCACTTAGTAGCCTTCTTGGTTATCAGATCGACTGTCATGGTATCACAGTGCTTGTGTTCAAGTAATGCCTACTTTACTTAATAATGGCCCCAGAGCACAAGAGCAGTGATGCTGGCAATTCAGATATGCCAAAGAGAAGCCATGAAGTGCTTCAAGTGAAAAAGTGCTAGTTCTCAACTTACAAGAAAAAATATTGTACTCTGAGGTCGCTAAGATCTATGGTAACTTTTATTACAGCATATTGTTATAATTGTTCTATTTTATTATTAGTTGTTAATCACTTACTGTGCCTAACATAATTAAACTTTATCATAGGTACGTATGTATAGGAAAAAACATAGTGTGTAGCGGGTTCGGTACTATCCGCAGTTTCAGGCATCCACAGGGGCGTCTTGGAACGTATCCCCAGCAGATAAGGGGGGACGAGAGTGCACAGGTTCTTTGAGAATCCTAAAATATAAGTTATCTGGGTCTGGCGACTTGAACCCAAAGTAACTGGGCACCTTTTCCTGTCTCCATCATCTTGCTTGGTTTCCAATTCCATTTTAACTATGCTTATTTCCATGTTTCCACTATATTCCCTTGTATTCTTGGTATTTAAGAGTTCTGCTTTTGGTCATCTGCAAAACTTAAGGCAACTGCTGTAAGCCACAAGTGTTCAGATTTAATTCAGCCGATGTGAGAGGCCCAGGCGTCAATATTAAAAAATAAAAAATTACAAAATTAAAACTCCCTAGATGATTCTAATGTACAGCCAGGGTTGACAACAAGCAGTGTATCCCTGCTTTGTTCTTTTTGTTTGAATACAGCAAATATGTATTTTTTATTATTTTCTGTCAACTCCAGCTCATTCCAGGCCTTTCTAACATTATTCTCAGAAGTGTTTGACACTCACTGTATTCATCCTTGATTTATATATTCAAACTCTCATTTACTGCTCATGCCTTTTAAAATTATGAGATTGGGGAGCTGCCTTGTAGCTACAATGGTGTCTTTAGACATCTCTTTTTTCCTTCATCATCAGGATAATTTGTGACTATATGGTCAGAGATTTATTTCTGAGAGAGCTGAACACAGAATCATCTTCATATTTTTTCTCATCTTTTTGTAAGCTAATTTCATAAAGTTTGGAGTATATGTTGACGTCTAGCACTCCCTTCTATGTATCATTAGGGATGCTTTTGTGTGGAAGTAGGAAAAAAACTCCAATAAATATATTAGGTTGCCTATCAAGAAGTCTAGAGCACTGGGGACCCACGCTGGGCTGTCAGCAGCTCTGTGTGGTCCTGGGGGCCAGGTTTTTCTGTCTTTCTACTCCGCAACTTCAAGGTGCTGGCTCTGCCCTCAGGCCAGCTCCCCTAGGTGGCTGTAGCAGTTTCACTCAACACATCCAGACAAAACAACATCCAGAGGCAAAACGAAAGTCTCTTCTGAGGTCGCCTTGGGAGTGAGAACTTTCCCCAGAAAGATCATCAGCAGAGTTACCCCCAAGTCTCATTTGCCAGAATGGTCCCATGACCTTTCCTAAACCAATCACACCAAAGGGATAGGGCCATCCTTCCCTGAATTACCTGTGGGGAGGGGCAAACAGTCCCCTCTCCTCCAAAAGTCAGAGCTCAGCCAGCAAGGAAGCCGGCAGTATGCTGGAGAAGGAATCGCCAGTGTCTGCCTTAGTTTTATCATCACAAAAATCTGAGAGGGCACAACTGTTTTCTCTGCAGGTTCCTAACATTTCCACGAGAATCAGTCTTTCTCTCTAGGTGAAAATTAATCCAAGAATAACAGTTTTCTTTTGTTACTTCTGTTAACCTATGGGGTGCCATCATCAGCAGGTCAAGAGTCACAGATCCTCTTAGCAAATAAGATACCCAGCAAGGTCCTGTTTTGTCACTACAACACCTTGCCTCACTGTCTTCCTGATGTAGACTCAGGAATCAGTAGCCTGAATCTGAAGGAATGTACAGTATTACCCCATAACATTTTTGTCTTTTTCATTGTTACTCCGATGCTCCTCACCCACTTCACCTCTCAGGTCTGTGAACTTCTGTGTGTGTCTTCTTGACTTAGTGATGTTTCCAGCCTTATTAGACCTATCTCTTTTGAACAATATATATGTGTATTTTTATATCTTAGTCAACAAATCCCACCTCAAATTTTGACAGAATTCTGTCCTTGTGTTCACATGTCCAGTTCTTTGTTTACTGTCTGAGCTCTGTAACCTGGTATCCACGTATCTGAAGCCATGTCTTATTGGTGAGTTACTGGGTCTATCTTTCTTCTAATCCAAGACTTATTTTTAAGATCTCCCCACTTCTTGTTGTTTTCCTTTTAAGTCTTTCAACATAGAATCATCCACATATTTTCTGACATTTTTGTAAGCGATTTTCGTAAAGTTTAGAATGTGTGTTGATGCCTAGCACTTAATTTCCAACATAAAGCCTTTTGACAGATTTGCCAGTTTGTCAAATAAGTTCTTGGGCAAATCAGTGTTCTAAATATTTGTTTTAAAATAATCCTTACAACCCTACAAAATAGGTATTATTCTTATTCTACATATGAAAAAACTGAGGCCCAAACATTAAGTAACTTGTTCAACAAAGTTACCCAGTTTGAAGCCAGGCCTGACTCCGAAGTTTAGCTATTTTCCTGGTATTCTGAAATCTGAGGCCTGAATGACAAAATCAGTCAAAATGGACTGTTAAAATGAACAGATTTTTTAAAATGCTTCTGAGAAACACTGGGGGAGAGTAGCACACAAATTAGTGGAACTCAGTTAAGTGATGCTCCCAGAGAAAAAAACATTGAGATAAGGAAGTGGGCTGTGAGGGAGCCAGGCTCCAGATTCCTGGAAAAACCATCTCATCTGGCAGACAACCGAGAACTGAATAAATCCCCCATCTTGCTGCTATATGGAATTTCTGGACAGGCTAAAAGCAGCAGCAACTGGAACCTTGAGGTTTCAGCTCTGCTTATGCTCAGTCACTAGTCCCCTTTAGATTCTGTGCCCTCCTTCAGGTAGAGCAAAGTTTCTCTCACTACATTTCTCTAAACCAAAATGAGGCTCAAGCAATGTCTGTAGAAAACAAAAATTACATACTGAATATTTGAATGTGTAATAAATACACTTTAAAACCAGTTAGATTCTCTGCCTAAAAGACTCTTAAAAACAAATCACTTCCAGAGCCATTTTAAGAAATGTATGTGTGTGTGTGTGTTTACCCAACTTCTTTTTTATTGGTTGAATCATAGGAGATTGACATTCCCTTTTCCCAAGTGTTGATTTACTATGTCTAAGCTAAATTTCTTGAATGTTGTCATTGTGAAAAAACAGCACAACATAAAAAATAATATTAAAGGACAAACATTTGACAGCATTGTCAAAGACCACAGAATAATAAATGAAATCTGTTTTCATATTCTAGTACTGGTTTAAACTTGACTATCTAAGAACAAGATGTTTCTCACTTAATTTTATTCATGAACTCTTTTAGAAGCCACCCTCCGCCCGCCCCAGGTCTGTAAAAGAGCTTCATACATGTTACAGTCTTCTGAAGAAAGCACACCAAGTGGACGACCAGGACAAGCTGAGGGGAGCTGCAGCCAATCCCCCGCCGCCCACGTCCAAGGAGCATTCCCACCCCGAGGCCAGGGAAACTGTGCCTAGATAACGGCCAGCAGTCTGCAGTTTTGTTTCGACTGTAATTACAGGTTATATACTCTCCTCTCAAGACCTCCTCCCACCCCTAATAACTCTGTTTGGCTAACAAGCGATTATATTACAAAATAGTAATGGAAAAACTTTGAAGACATGCCTGTGACAGTTACCAACAAGGATGGTATGAAGGCTCACTAAATTTTGGTTGTTCATTTCTCTTTGATTTTGATAAAATATAGAAGAATAAAGGCTGGCACAGTGCTGATCTTACTGAAGAACGTAATAAAATAAATTGAAGGAAAAAAGAGAAAAGTTGTAGAGAGATAAAGAATAGGAAAATACACCTGAAGTATGAACAGAAGTCATTTAAAAGAAGGGGAATATTCTACAACAGACGAAGAAAGTTTTAATTTCTTTTCACATTAAACATTGTTTACCACAATCAGCTAACAGAAATTACTGTAACATTGGTCAAGATGACATAAAACTAAGGATAAATGTTACGAGAAAAACTCATTTAATGTGAATGACGACGTTAGATACTATATTTTTCACGACAGGATGAGATACAACTTATCTTGAAGAGAAAGCAAATAATTCAGGTCAAGGAGACATGCTGAGCTTTTAATAAAGAAGAAAAGCTTTGCCTTGTCCAGAACACTTAACAAAGTCTAGGATAATTTAGATAAAAGAGGTGAGCTGGACACCAAGCGCCAGGCAGGGTCACAGGCCCGTGACTCAGGCTTTACTCCCGGTGCTGGATCCAGGCAGCTTCCTGTGGTGAGGGAGCTGTGACTGCTGGCAGAGGGATCTTCACTAGTAGCCTTGGATCTGATCAACCATATTTTAACCACCGGGCAGTCCAAGGAACTATTTTAAAAGGGATAGTTGAGTATTTTCACATATATACTATTAAGGCATCTAAATTTTTGGTGTTTTCAGTATATAATTTTACTGCTACTTTTTATTCTTTTTTTCATGTTGTATAACAATGATATTAGGTATTAAATGACAATTCTTTCTCTACTAATGAACCAGTTTATCCATTTTGCAAACTCTAAATTGAGGTCTTGTGAAAGGGAAATTTATAATGTGAGAACACACAGAAAAACATATTGAAAACCAATAGAGAATATTTTTAACTACCATAAAAATTCAATCATAATTAACTGATAATTTTAACTTTGGAAAGACAGAAGAGTAATTAGAATTAAAATAGGTATTAGAAATAATTACCAGTAATGTGCTTTACAAAAGAAGAATAGAGCCATAAATGGCTTAATTGTCCAATTGAGTAACTACCAGATTCTTCTTTAGTCAACACTAACAGAATTCACATTTGAGCTAGTCAACAAAGCATATAAATATTTAACATCTCTTGAATATAACATTTTAGTGATAACAGAGACTACATAATTCTATTCATTGTTATCACTGTGCACAAATTAACCAGGTTAAATATCAAAGAGACATTGTGAATACTCCCGAAACTAACAATAGAATGTTAATTAAACAAATTTTTAAAAGATTCAGAAATAAAAGTATAAAACAATTTTAACATGGATAAGACAGTCTTAAACAATTATCGACCTAATCAAGACCTTTAAAATTACCGCCGAAATGCACTACGATGTTTTTTTAATTTTGTTTCCAGAAAGAATCTATAAGTACAGGTTGCAGAAAGAAAATGTTTAGTGCTATTTACATTCATTTTAAAACTCTGCTCTATACAAATTTAATTCTGATCAGTATGAACAATATTTTCGTAGATCTACTGCATATAAAGCCTTTTCATCAAAGCATTAACAACGAATAAAATAATCTGATTACCTTAAACAAAGCTGACCATTTGAAACCATTTACACTTAACGTTTGTAAGGGCCATGGACGCTTATTAAAGTACAGAACATAACGTCAGCCTGCAACTTCATTTTTATAAAGGCTAAAGGTATTTATATGGAATATTGTTCTATATACTATACGCCAATCTATATTTTAAAGTTCTACAGTTAGGTATTTTATAAGTTTTTTATTAAATATATTCTACACATATTTGTAATTTCATCCAGGAAGAATTTCTTCCCAGTGAAAAAATATAAAATCTTTTATATTTTTACAGGTTTAGATGAAACTAGGTCATGCTATAGTGCTGTGCAAATTGTTTTAGCATATCAATTTTTAAATTATTGGTACAAAACAAAAGAATGGCATCCTTAATCGTGTATGCCTTCAAAAATCAGCTTTTGATTTTAATACAATTGCAAGCACTAATACCAAATGCAAACTACATAAAGAAACAAAATTAGTTACTATGGAAATTTTTTAATTTTAAGAATTCATCTGAACTCTAATGAGTAAACGTGACACTGGACACAGTTACCAATGAGCAATAATTATGAAAAAATTCAACTTGCTGATATTCAAATACATAACCTTGATCAGTAAATGAGGTTTTCTAATATTTCTGCAGAATAATGGAAGTCTATGAGTGACTGGAATTGACCCCTCCCATATTAAGGCTAGGAAACGCACTCTCATCCCTTGTGCTGTGTGACAAGCACTCAGTTACTGCAGACTCGAGAGTGCACGTGTTAAAGGAAAAACAATTCGTTTCATCAGCCCTCTACTGAGTGTTTTAAACAACAGGCACATTTTCTTTTTTCATTTGTTGCAGGGAAAATGGTCACACTCAGTTTAGTATTCTGTGCCAGTGCAGCCACCATGGCTGACTTTGGTAGAATTCACCCAACATTTTAGTTTCTTTTCCATTTTTTCCTCTCCATTTGGCCCAGTAATTGACTTCATTAATTGCTAAGTGTTTTCCAGTGTGGAATAGTATATATGAGTATTTCTAGGTACCATAAACCATGTTATAAATTCTGCTGATGAAGAAAATAATGTCAATCTTTTTTAGTGCAAACTGTATTTGGAACACCTTATTTGTTGGTCCTGGTGATGAAAATTTTTGTGGCAGCAAAATGGTTTCTGCTATGAAAGATAACTTGTTAACTTTTCCCCTGGAGATTGACTGCATTCAAAAACCAATACATTTTAAAACTGCTCAACATAAACAAAAATACTAGAAATAAAAAATCATAGTGAAAAATGCTCGGTTCTTTTTACTTTCATGAGAAAAGACGACAGAGTTCATGTGATAATTCAGTTCCGTGGATTTACAGGCAGACTCTTCCTAAAGGTTTCTGAAGTAATGTTGGGTCTCTTCTGTGCCAGCAGCATGAAAGACAAAAACTACATCACATCACTTAGCAAACAGTGTTTACAGGATTACACAACAATTACTCTCTCCAGTCTTTTCCCGATTCCTCTGACCTAGGGAAAATGAAGAAAAGTCTCATTTATAAAAATTCTTGAATTGGAGGTGGGTGGGGGCGTGGGGTAGAGGAAGAACCCAAGCATAAGAACAGTTTTTTTTTTTTTCAATATTTGCATTTTTTTTAATTAAAAAGCTATAATAAATACTCTTTTAATTTTAGCCTATTTCCAAATATGTCTGGTTATTTACTTAACAGCTCTATTCATAAACTATGAAAACTTGCTTTCCCTCAAAATGTGCAAGAAAAACTGAGCCTTATTTGAACGGCTGTCCCTGTGGCTCAAGCGAGAAACCTCCCTAGTGCGTGGCTTACCTTGCGAGTTTGGCTCCGGCAGTGTCTCTCTGGCCACCAAATGCATCACTGTTGTTTTGCCAAAAGGAAGTTTTAACGCTACGTGAAAAGTAGAAGACGATTCGTTACGTATACATCGACCTATTGAAATCACGAACCAGAACTAAAACCATTTAAAAAACGGATTGCTTTTTGTATGACTTCCTCAATAGAACGTTCTTACCAGATGGAGCATCTCTTACAAAATGAAATTAGGTTAATATTATCAGAAACAATTTTTACAATTCAGAAATTGTTCTTCCCAGTTATGACCATTAGCTTGACACATATTATCCATATTGTTTAAGGAAAGGGACAAGAGAAAATACATAATTGGTTAATATTGGAGATAACCTTTGGAGGAGAAAAGAAAAGGAAGTAAAATTTTTTAAAAGAAAACTTTTTCTGGACTAGGGAAAAGTTTAGATTAAGAGACATTTGTTTCTAGTGTATCACCTAACAAAATTACTGCACCAAACAGACCACTATAATGTAGAAGACAGACGAACTTAATTTTAAACATTTATTCTCAACTTTGGACACTTCAATTAGAAAATAATTTTCTTTAAAAGCTTACTTTAAAAGAATCACTATCTTGGCATTATTAATAATCACTGTGTTCTAATCAAGTTTTCTCATTCATAAATAAAAAATTATGAACTATTTCAGACATAGAATATAATATACACCCATATATTCATGAACCACTTAATACAAACATCAAGTTTCGTAGTAAATTGCTTTGCTACTCTGTGTATAAAATTAGAAGCAGCCAGTGTTTCTAACTTCTCGAGTTATCTCCATAGGTGCGATGTTTTAGTCCCAAACTTACTTCCTCTCAATAACAAACCCAAGGGAGGCTTAAGATCATTACTCAGCAAGTACGATCCTCCTGCTACCTGCTTTTTAAATCTTGCTCTACAGAATGATAGTTAACATGTAGATTAAAAAAGAGTCCTAATTATCTTCAATATTATTAATATTTCATGTAATCACGGTTAGTTTCCATCTTGTTTAAAGTTGGCTGGCCATTATTTGGTCTATTCCCTTAACTTCTGATGTTCAAATGAAGCATGGCGGCCCATAAATACACACTATGATGAAAAAAGAGGAAGGCCTTTTGTGGATCATCTCCTATGCCTGATTTAACATTAAAATGCAAACAAGACTTGTATTATTAAACCCTTCACTAAATGTTTTGGGAAAGCCTGACTGAATTTAAAATGTACACATACCAAGTTGTGTATCACTCATACTATCTTGACTCTAGTAAGCCAGATCTGGGTTAAAAACTGCATCTCTGCTCCTTACCAACTGTGAAATGGGTTGTGAGCACGTTATCTACCCTCCCTAAGCCTCAGTGTCCTCCACCTAAGTGGGAGACAGTAATTCTATCACCTGCCCCTTAAGCTGTACTGATTAAATGAGACAATCCAAGGACAGTGCTTCTGTGCAGGGCTTGGCACAAAGAAAGCACGCAGTGAATATCACCATGATCATCGTCATTGTCACTTTGAGACAGCAAGGAAAATGGATCTCAGAAAACAGGTAAGTGAACTGAGATGTAACTTTAGAGAAATGTTGGGCAGGCCGGGAAAGCTACTGAGTGGCTTACTGTTTGAAGCTACAAATTTGATCAATGGGGACTATTAGTTTCCTTTTCCATTTGAATTTTAACTAGAAATAGCAGATATTGATACTAACAGTATCAAAGAAAGGGATACAAGAATCTAAAATGCTTTCTCTTTTCACTGTGGATGCTTCCGCTATCTACTATGACACTATACAATATCCAGGACAGAGGTTTTCAGCTGTCACACAAAAATCACCCAGGGTTTCAATTCAGTAGTAGTTGGAGAGAGAGGGCATGCAGAAATCTGCTTTTTTTTTTCCTTTGGGTGAGGAAAATTTGCCCTGAGCTAACAGCCATTGGCAATCTTCTTCTTTCTCTTGAGGAAGATTAGCCCTGAGCTACCATCTATGCCAGTCTTCCTCTATTTTCTATGTGGGATGTCTCCACAGCATGGCTGACGAGTGGAGCAGGTCCGCGCCAGGGATCCAAACCCATGAACCTGGGCCACCGAAGTGGAGCGCGTGGAAATTTAACCACTTGGCCATGGGCTGGCCCCCAACTCTGTATTTTTAAATAAGTATCCTAGGTGATTCTCATCCCATCGTCTCAACCATATTTTCGGAAACACTGTTGTGGAATGTACTGAACATCAATCTTGCAGCTGATCTTCTTTTCCAATTAGTAAGGTTGTTATCACAACTTTTCTTTAGTAGACTGAAATTCTATGTAAGTAAAAGGTTATATATCAAAAAGGGAATTCAGGGCTATGTTTTAAGAAACCTGATAACAAAAAATTTAAACCTGAAATTTACTGAACCACAAAATCTCAAGAGCGGCAGAGAATGCCCAGGTCTCCTGGTTTAACCATCCACATAATGACTGAACCCCACCCATGGCTGTATCTCTATTTTGTATTCACTCACTGCTTGAACATTACCAATAACAAAGATCTTACTCTTTTCCCATGGTGGTCAGTTCTTTCTTTAGGCAGCTTGACATGTTCAAATATTCTTTCTTGTATTGAACAGAAATCTGTCTGCCTTTGATTTCCAGCTGGTTGGTCCTAAGTCTAATTCACAGGGTATACAGAGCAAGTCTCAAGCCATGCAAAGCAAGCCTAAGCCTTCTTCACAGTAGCCATTCAAATATTTGAAGAGAGATGCTTAGACCCTGTGTGCTGTCTCCTCTATTATCCACACTCAAGGACACAGGCAGACTAAAAAGAAACATTGCGACCAAAAAGACAAAGAACTGTATATTATTTAACTTTTATCAAACACCCAGATATACTGATCAATATGAAAGATCTAAGTTATATTCCTATGCTATTGTCTAAATCACTAAGGCCAGAGATGGTTCACTTTGTTTTTGAAAAGACTGACAGCAACATAGAATGACAATAATTAACAATAAATCAATCTGTTAATTATTCAAAAACAAATTCCAAAAAAACATTGCTAAAAATTTATACTTTAATGGGAATGAATCAATAGTTTGATTTTAACACAAATTTCATGATCTTTAATATGAAGTTGGAACTTTGGGGCCACAACAGAAAGATAATTAGAGAATTAAGCTGGTGGGAAATTGCTCACATAGATCAATACTCAAAGGGAAATGGAGTCTCAAGATTCATTCATGTAGTCAATAGATTAAATTCAGTCAACATTTACCGATCAACATTACAAGAGCTTATGTGAGTCATAGACAATCAAAAAAAAGACTAAAACATGGCCCCATCCTTAATGAATGTACAATACAGCCAGGGAGCTAACAGTCAATTCTTACATTAAGAGTTGGCCCATGTAACTATACAAAGAGCTATCAAAAAACCTACAAACCAAAAAAGCTATATTTTAAATGGCAGACAATCTCTTAGGAGATAGCAGTACTTTTCAGACCAATTATGACACTGCCACTGGTTATGTGTGAAACTATATCCTGAAATGTTCTACCTACTTGATATTGTCATAATAATCATCTACTCCAGCCCTTATCACACAGTATTTTTTTTTTTTTTTTTTTTAAAGATTTTATTTATTTACTTTTCCCCCCAAAGCCCCAGTAGATAGTTGTGTGTCATAGCTGCACATCCTTCTAGTTGCTGTATGTGGGACGCGGCCTCAGCATGGCCGGAGAAGCAGCGCGTCGGTGCGAGCTATCACACAGTATTTTAACAGTGGATTTTATCTGTTTGTACTATGTAATACTAGAGCATCTGGATGGAAGAGATTCTGTCATGTTCAATTGTTTAGCACAGTGTTGGCATGTAAGAAATAAATATATGCTGAATGAATGAATGAAAATATTCTACGTTTAAGGAGAAAGAGATTAAATATTTCATTATTAGGTTTTGAGAAAAAATTCAGACTACATTTAAACAAAGATATATTAAAGTAGATCACTTTAGTTGCCCACAAATTTCTAATTATTAGAATATATTTGAAATACATGTGCTAAAAACAGAACCAACCCTGCTGATGGTAGGAAATGTACCCCAGAGGGGGGTACTATTGAGCTACATTTCTCCAATCACATGTAAAGAGCAGTGAGAGCTAACAAAGGGTTTACTAGGTGCCAAGCACTGTTTTAAGTGCTTTAAATATATAAATTTAACACTCCTAACCTAGGAGGTAGGCACTATTGTTACCCCATTTTACTGATGAGGAAACTGAGACACAAAGCAGTTAAGTAACTTGCCCAACTTACACAGTCAGTAAGTAGTGGAACCAGGATACAACTTGGACAGTCTGGTTCTAAAATCTGCTCTTTCAATCACTACACTCTGCTGTCTCCCCAATGTCACTCATTCACCTTTATTCTTGCATGACTGGCAATTACATCAGTTAGAGTCAAACTGAAAACATTCCTTCATTATTATATTTGAAAACCAATTATCATAAACCTTTCCTAGATTGTGGGTCTGGCTTTAACTTATAAATATCTAAATTATATTATCCAGAAGTACAATAAAATTACATTTATAAAATAATAGGTATGGACTCCTATCCTACTTCTAATGGGATAGAATTTGTTTTATAAGGTAGTAAACACTTATCATAGTGCTAAAATTAAATTGAACAGAATGCAAAATGTAAAGGAGTAGACTTATCAAAAAAATAGGCAGAATTCATGTTGAGTTTGGAATTATAATTTTTTAGTAAAATGAGATATTAGCATCTAAACAAACAAATGAATAATGCTGCCATGAGACAGACATTAAATCCCGTTACAAAGGTGACTATTACCTCCTAATGTGACATTTCCATGCAGAAATCTTCCTTGATAAATAAGTCGTAGAATGTTTGGACTGCTGACCTGCTCTTCTTCCCAGTCTGAAAAGAACCAGTGAACTTGTTAGGCATATTTCAACACAAAATTAAGATATTACTGCATTGTTCTGAAAATTCAGATCCAAATCAGGTAGAACACATCAAAGACGACACTTGGAGTTTCCTAATAATTGAAACAGTCACTACTTATGCAGTCATTGGAGCCTTGGTTCTTGCTAGTTCTTCTCATTAAATAGTAAAAGCTACAGAAAGACAAGTTTTTACTTAAAGAACGCTAAAATGTGCCAAAATATAGTCTTGAAGTTTAAAAATTACAACAAATGAGTGGGAAAAAATCTAATCCTAGGTAAAGAGAAATGTATTTAAAAATTAATTTCAATTACCAGTAATTAACAGAGAATACTATAATGCTCCAATATTTGTAACCTGTTAAAATATATATATTTGAGGCTAGAAGCAACAGGTTTAACAAAGATTTTTAAGAGAATTAATATACTGATACAGAGAATAAAAAATTCTACCTCAATAAAACTGGAGAACAAAAATTTAAAAAAGAGAATAACAAAAAAAATTAACAGTGCTTACTTTTGGATAATGTTGATTTATTACTTTATTGTCTTTTTTTTAAGCCAATTGGTAAACATTACAGAACACACAACTTTAGTTCACTTTACTCAAAATACCAGAAGAAACTCAAAAAATAACATATATTAGAAGGTATTGGGCCAGCCCTGTGGCTTAGCGGTGAAGTGCCCATGCTCTGCTACTGGTGGCCCAGGTTCTGATCCTGGGCGCGCGCCGACGCACCGCTTCTCTGGCCATGCTGAGGCTGCGTCCCACATACAGCAAGTAGAAGGATGTGCAACTATGACATACAACTATCTACTGGGGCTTTGGGGAGAAAAAAAATAAGAAGGTATTATACAGGTATGAAAGCTAGGAAAGTGGACAAAGAAAATCAAAAGACAAAGTGGTGGGTAGGATGGGTAACAGAATATTTCATTTTAGCGTTATCACTTATGTTACAGTAAAATATGAACACTACTCTGTTAAAATGATGGTTTAAGGACACTGGCAGGGTATGGGATAATTTTCAGTAGCTTGTAAATATAATAATTCAAGCTCTGATTTTGATAAAGATTTGAGAATTCCATCATCATCTTTCTCAATAATTCCAGTGTGATGTGTTTGTTTCCTACAGAAGCTCCTATTATCAGGAGATAACTGTCAACACAAAAACCAGTTTAAAATATCCTGAAGAGTAAATGATAGAAGAGAAAGGAGGTAAGTAGGGTACTTTTCCTTTTGCCTTTTCTTTTGAGTGTTCAAAATGATGACTATGAATTTGATAAAAACCAGTGCATCTCAGTGACTCAGCACAACAGAAATAGGTAGAGAAGAAATTAATCTCAGCCATTTCTCCTCCTCCCTCTGCCGCCTCCCCCAGGCCCCTTGTGCCTTTTCTCCTGTCCCTCTTCCCTCCCCTTGGGCTGCCTTTGCTGCCTTCTGACTCCAGGGCTCCCATGTCCCTATTCTTCTAGAAGAAAGATCAAACAAACCTCTAACACTTTAGTACGGATTATACTTTGAATTCACCGCATACAAAATTATTGTTTAATAGAATATTTCTGGTCAAGATGGAAGTGTGCCATAGATATAAAGACAAATGTCAGTAATTATCTCATTCACAGGAAAAAGAATTCTAAAAATACTTTTGTGAGATGCAGAAACTTGAAGCCACATATTTCATTATCTTATACAGAGTGTCATGATTTCCACCTACTTCATTGGTTTAATATGCTATTAAACCTTTTTTAATAGGTTTTCCTCGCAGAGGATCTAAAATTGAGAGAGACCTGTAGAACAATGCTTGAAGGAGGAATTTCAGCTACTAGTAACATATATTTAGCGGATTACTTTTTGGACCTCTGACCCAGTAACAGCTATGTGTCTGACTATTCCACCTATTAACAACATTGCACTAAACTGCATAAAAAAAGGAAATATTCCTTCCAAAAATATATTGCACAAAGTATTTTCTTCTACTGATTTAATATTTACTACACTTTTCTTATTAGCACCAATAAATATTTACATTTGCTGACCTTTAGTGCATTACATAATATAACGTAGAACTAGATTTCTAATTTAAATATTTTATATAAAATAAAAATTATTTATTTTTATTCCCTGCATTGTCTAAAATTGCTGAGTAGAACTGGCAACCTGAGGAAAGACTGGGTTCAAAAACTTCTTTTGTGAAAATAAGTAACGCAGGATTGATACAATCAATTTCTAATACTGGTAGCTGGTTCATTCATTTGGAAAACTATGGCAAAGACATGCAATTCAGTCTTACCTTTGTTTACGATTAATCAGGATATTTTAAGGAATTAAAACTAATTCTAATATCTAAGATAAACAATTAATGAAGTTAAAACGAATTCTTTCACCACAAGTTATAATGTTGCCCAAATAAAATAAATTTTTGAGAGGGATTACCCTTTTTTGTCTTGCATAATCTTTTCTACAATATCCATATATGTGAAAAGCTATGTTGCCGACTCCCTCCCTACCAAAATCACAAAAGTAATCTTTTATATCAGACTTAGTACAACATTACTATTAGACAGGTATTTAAAAATGCTTTTCACACTGATAGTTATTTATCCTGCCTAGCTATGAAGAAAAGCCAATATGCTAAGAGCCCCAAGTTCAGTCTACTTTAGCTTTCCTGAAGTTCCTTCTTACCTATAACCTTCAGCTTCAGTCCCTCTCTGACTTAGGAACTAGCACTGACTTCCCCTTGGTTACCAATGGGAAGAAAGATCCAGTCACTTGAAAGTATTTATCTAAATCAGTGTTTCTTAAACTTAGGTCTATGAATTCACAAAGACATGTTCTTAGGGTCTGAAAGTCCTTTTCAAGAATTATTAGTGTTTTCATTTTAATGAAAAATCCAGAAGAGATTATCTAGCTAATTCAAATAATCACCTTATAACCAAGTATAGCCTTGGGATCTTAGTGCCCATGTACGCATTTAGGTGTACCATTGTACTGGCGCCAAGCAGTACTTCTTTTTTTTTTTTTTTTATAATTTTTATTTATTTATTCTTTTCCCCAAAGCCCCAGTAGATAGTTGTATGTCATAGCTGCACATCCTTCTAGTTGCTGTATGTGGGACGCGGCCTCAGCATGGCTGGAGAAGTGGTGCGTCGGTGCGCGCCCGGGATCCGAACCCGGCCCGCCAGCAGCAGAGCGCACGCACTTAACCGCTAAGCCACAGGGCCGGCCCCAAGCAGTACTTCTTAACTGTCGAGAGGCTCATAAGAAAAGAATAGAGGTTGACTTACTACATAAACAATGCATTCTTGTTATGTGAAGGCTGAATGACAATTTGGTACACTGTGTGAATGAAGGTTTTCTGGTGAATCTGCAGGTAACTGTGTCCGCATACAGCAAGCAGGAACATAGGCATGCCAAATCAATAGCACCATATTCATGGTACAAGCAGTGAGTTGGTTTTAGCAAAAATACATCATCTGGCACATTAATGTTGTTAGTTTGAATGTTATTGGTTTTAGAGTTATATTTGCATTTTTTTTGCAGATGTTTTAGTTTTATAGTTGTATACAAGTTAATAAGGACAAAGAGTTTTAATTGGGTTTTACGTTCCTATCTTTAAAAATAAACATTATAATAAAAATAATTTAAGTCAGCACCAGGGAATCTACAAGAAATTTCTTCTTTTAAAAGAGTTTCATATATTATTTAAGGTTGAGAAACACTCATCTAATTGATTCATTTTGTAGACACTGTGTTCTGTGTTGAAACAAGTCTTGTCCTTTAAAAAAGTCCAAATTGCTTTGGCTAGTTAAATTAAGTGAAATCAGCTGAAACAGTCATATCACTATGGTACATGCCATAAAAAGGGTCAAGATGATTTGGGGAAAGTTCGAAGAAAGAATGTAAGCAAAAGACTCACTTTAGGATGGCAATACAGAGTCTCGTTACATAGAAAAGAACCCAAGAAAGGAAGGGATACACACACACACATCACCATTTTGTTTGTCGTGGATACTGGCTTGAAAATACAAAGCATAAATGGATTTTATACCTTCTTGACCTTGTAGTAGGTTCAGAGAACACAAGAAGTCACTTGAATTAGAAACTAACTTTGTGTCAAACTCAATTTTAAATAGGCTATGTATAGACTACGTATAGAATAGACCAGAGAATGAATTATAATTTGTTAAAGATAGTTTTTCTTTCCTTTCAGTTTGTGTTTTGGTGTCAATAGCTTTACTGATACGAAAGTGTGAGCGTGTGTGTGTGTGTGTGTGTGTGTGTGTATGAGTTAACTACTTTGTGTTTTTCTTTTAAAAAATAATTTTAATTTACATAAAACAGTTCTAAGGCAAAAACAGGGACTTTTCGTACTGGTTCCTTTATTATTTTGCAATAAGATAGCTGAAGGGCAAAATCTAGGGATCCTCTTTAACTGTAAGCCTTGCAGCCTCAATTATTTGTTTGTTCTTTTATATTTTATATATTTATAACTTTTTCAAAACATCTGTCAAACAAGGTAGGGCATAAAGAATTAACATTATTTGTTCTCAAGAGAAAAACACCACTCACCCATTGGCCAGTTGTCATACACATGCTTTGCAATGTCAGAAGCAGAATCATTAGGAGAAAACAGGAACTCTTTTGTTTTCCCGCTTACCAAGATGAGGCGCAAATTTATCTGAAAGAAGACAATGATTCTTTTAATATAAATCTTGACATTTTTAATGTAAAAAAATGACTCAAGTTTTTTATTTCAATCACATTCTAAATTATTACTAAAGCCATTTTCTGGTTTTTGTTTACTTAAATTCTGTAAAGATTTGTTTTAAAGAATGACAATGTGGTATATGATTTTATTTCCATTATTTAATATATATGTGGGAGGAACAGATATATTTGCCCTATATAAATATTTGCCATATTAAATGAACAAAGGAAAACCAAAATCCATCATGCTTTTAAATTGAACTACTCCAACAATGTTCAGAATTGGACTTTTACAGGTTATCACTATTACTACAGAATACATAATTTTACATTGAAAAACTAATAAAAGTGGTGACCTTGTAGATCACATCACTAAGTAGAAAATATAATTTAGTTGATAATGAAGAGAAAACAGTAAATTATATACAACTTTTTATCATATAAGAATTATTCAAACTTAAATAAATTAACCAGAAACTATAATTTTAAAGAACTTTGTCATGGTCAATGAAGGAATCAATAATAGTAGTTACTTTAATCCCAACTGCATGATCATTTGTTTTCTTGGGAGGGGGAGGAGGAGCTATGTGTGACAAAGGACACAGATTCAGTGAAAAACCTAACAGAATTAAAATTTTTGAGATCCACTAGATTTACATCTCCAAGTCAATAAATATTTGCTTATACCATTCTTAACACATTTTCCAAAATGTTCACTTTTTAATTTTTATCTTTATCCATAATTAACCTGATTTTTTAAAAACCACAATATTCATTCATTTCCCTAGACGTTACAGAAATACAAGTATGGTTTCTATACTCCTGGGCTTCTGCTAAGAGAGCAAATAAGACCTTCCTAAAAGTTGGGTCTGGTCCAGAGCTGAGCCCTGGGACTAGCCTAGCTTCTTTATATATAAAGAACAGAGAATGTCATTGTACCATTTTGAATTGTGCCAGGTCCCAGGTTACCCAAGCTCTCCTCTTCAGTTACCAACAGTTTTTTTCTTACAAAAAAAAAAAAAATACCAGAAAATCTTTAAGATGGCAAAGCCTACAATGAATAAATTGGTGCCTCTCACAGCACCATCAAGCACCAGGGCACTGATTTTACTATCCACCGCCACCAAGGCCAATGCCACTCCCAGTGCCTTACCACTCTGAAAATGTGTTGAAAGTTATAAAATACCTTCTCTAGAAAAATGCCATACACAAACAATTCTACATTCAGTGGGATGCAACTGGATTCCATATTAGATGGAGTAAAACTGGATTCCATATTAGAAACTGTATTCTAACTGTATGTACACTGTATCTCAAGAAAAAGTTTTTAAAAAGATAAACAAAAAGAAATCTATATTCCAGGTGAAAAGCCTTTTTGAAATGTCCAGTAAGAATTTCTTTCTGTCTTTCCTAATTAGAATGAAATTAGACCAAACAGTTTAATATAGGAAGAGATGTGATGAAATCACACTGCTGTAAAAGAAGTAATATCCAAAAACTTTCTAAGTTTCATTTGAACAAAATTCAAGAAGTAGTTTGCAAGAATGATTCAACTGTAAGAAAGCACCATCTTACTTATTTCCTATGACAAACAAGTAATGAGTGATTCTTAAAGCAAAGAACCTAACATCTATATAATATAATGCAAATTTTAATTCTCACAGTACATCACTATTTATGGTGTCTCTTTATGTGTGAATAATGATAAATATATATTATGCTCTGAAATTATAAGGAAACATTTTTTTTTTTTTGTGAGGAAGATTAGCCCTGAGCTAACATCTGCTGCCAATCCTCCTCTTTTCGCTGAGGAAGATTGGCCCTGAGCCAACATCTGTGTCCATCTTCCTCTACTTTATGTGTAGGATGCCTGCCACAGCATGGCTTGACAAGCGGTGCAGAGGTCCGCTCCTGGGATCCGAACCTGCGAACCCCGGGCCGCTTTTAATGGCTTCAAACTACTGAATAAGGGCCCTTTAGTCATTAATGCCCAAGAAATTATGGCCCTCATAATGGTTCAGCCACATGTGTTTGTTTAACCAGAAAGAAAAATAATTAAATTCAATCTTCCTAAGACTTATGTAAATGATACAAACCTACTATTTCTTGGAATCATCTTTTAAGTTTAAAATTAATTTCCAATGGGCTTTTATTCAAATTATAATATTTAAAAACAATCCTTAGAATCCATAAAGGCAACACCAAAGCATACTTTAGATTTTCCCTAATATCCATCATTATGGAAATGGAAAAATAAGTGATAGTACATCCTTTCTCTGGAAATTCAGTTGTTAAATGACATGAGATATAGATCTATTTGATTTGACGTGGAAAGTTTCCACAATATAGTAAACAAAACAAAATAATACATCAACCCCATCCCATAAATACATGACACTCACTGGGTTCATGCTGCAAAGTCCTCAGCATTTCCTATTTTAAAACTGATACACATCACTGTCACCAGTAAACTGATATTTCACTTTCATATTTCCAAATCAATGGTCTAACAAATTAATGTTTATCTGGATGTTCAGAATGTTGGAAACTTTTGGCCTCTAGATGTGTTTGACTCAAGTTAAAAAAATATTTTGTAAAATGTTTGCAGGTGGGCATGAACTTTTCAGTTTGACACAGACCCTGCTAGTCCCTGCTCACTCGCACTGGTCTGCTTCAGACACTGATGATGCCTGCCTGGCCCCAGAAAACATGTGCCTCTGTAATTCATGGTGGAGTTTGAAGGGGCTTTGGGCTACAAAATGAGAACGAAAAGCAGGTAAGGGTTTAAAATCTTTAAAATCACTCCTCCGCGTGGGGAAGGGGGAGAATACGACAACTGCAAGAGCAAGTCTATAAATATGTAAATCTGAGAATTTGTCAAATCTTACAGTTAAAACTATCTAAAACTGACAATAACAGTTAAAGACTGCTTCAGGAAAGAAGCTTACGTCTAAAATAAAAAATAACAGCACTAAACCCACAAAATTAAGTTGCTGAATAAAGTAACACATTGTCTGAGACACTCTCAGTGCCTGGCACATAGTAGGTGTTCAACTAATGTTTGTAGACTGGCTAATAGTTCAGTTTCTTCAGTTTCAAGATGCAAGTGGAAATGTAAACTGGAAAGGTCAGCGCTGAGATTCAAATCCCAGCTTCAGTGTTCTGTGCAGTGTACTGCACAAATGGCCAGTGCAGTATGTAGAATGGGAATGGATAACAATAATTTTTTAGTAGTGATATGAACATGTGGACAGTTACAACGTGTAAATAGCCCAATGTTTAATTTCTCAGGCTCTGGATCTTGACTGTCAGCAACACACCACAGTGTATATAAATGCTATCACTTTGTAAGGCATTTTGAAAAATAAAATTAATTCTGAGCTACCGTATTAACATGTATATTGTGCCTAGTTTTCAAATGAAGATAAAGACTGGGTTATTGATATGGAAGATTAACAGATGAGTCTGGACTTGTTCCTATGCTTCTGTCTATGTGACAACCTTGCTCCTAGACTAGAAGCATGAATCTGCCTCAGTATGCAGTCAGGTGTACCTTAGGACTGTAACACCAATGGAGGAAAACACTGAACTCCCATAATTTCCTTTAGAAGAAATCTTGAAAACAATCACCTAGATAAACATCTGGATACACAGGTTGGTCAGTAGTTAATTGCTCCCATATTATGGTAAGAATCTTCTCAGGCTTATTCAGATAAATAATGTCAATTATAGCTCCTCTCAGTAAATGTATGGCAATTCCTATAAATGTGAGCTAGTTTCCTTTAAAAGATTATGTACCAATTATTTAAATATTTGTTAATGAAAGACCTTTTTACTTCTTTGAAGCCAAACTAAGTCAATCTGTAAAATACCTTAAAAGAACCTCTGCTTGAGAGGTAGTGAAATTCTTGACACATCAAAATGGGTTAAAAACAAGACTCTTATTTACAGCTTAAAATGAGATATACTACATGTACATACTTGTCTAAAAATAAAGCTGTTAATCAGGACTCCAAATGACTAGATATGAGATGGAACTCCTATTATGTAATAAAATTCCCAAGGGACGGCATTTAGATCATCCAAATGAATCATATATTTTATAATTACTTTTGAGGCAAAACAAATCAAAACAAGACCATTAGTGAGACAGGACTACCATGATCATTTCCTGTAAGGCCAATGGAAACAACAAGAACCCTTCTATGCATGTAATTTCAAGTTAAAAAAAAGTTTTCAGTCAAACTGCCATATCTATTTGTTAGATTATATCAACCTGGAGAAATCTCACCTAGATATTAATTCACACAACAATTTGTTTTCAGTTGGTCAGGATGGAAAAAATTAGAGGAAGGGAAGAGGGAGAATGGACAACAGAATAAATTGAAATGGTCTTTGGAAATAAAACAGACAATTATGGAGATGGACTTTAAAAGAAATATGACAAGAAATCAAGACGTTGATCAGAAAAGGAACTCCCAACTTCTCCTCTGAGGGTCTCTTAAGAATAAAATGAGTACTGGGGTACTCTACTTCACATTCAAGTGAAGCATCTCCACCTTTGTAAGGTTCAGTCCTGCCTTTTCTGCTAAAGGGCAAGCAAGTAGCCAGTGGGAAAGATGTTAGACTTTCTTTGAAAGTCATTTTTAAAAAGCTCTCGATTTATCTCAAGGGGATTATATCGAATTAAAAAAAAAATCCCAAAAGGTTTCATACTGTATGATTCCATTTATATAATATTCTTGAAATGACAAAATTATGAGATGGAGAACAGATGAGTGGCGGCCAGGTTTTAGGAAGAGGGGAAGGGAAAGCAGTGGCTGTGTCTGTAAAAGGGAAGCACAAAGGATCCTTGTGATGGAACTGTTTTGTATCTTACTGTGGTAAGTGGTCACACAAATCTGCACATGTGATAAAACTGCACAGAACTAAACACACACACACACACACAAGTGCATGTGAAACTGGAGA